GCCTGCTCACAACTGCCGGGGCTGGTCTACTCGGAGTCCTGTTGTACAAGGTGAGCACAAAAATTGTATTGAGGATAGAGAGAGAGACAAGACCCATTGTGAAGAGGAGGTACTTTCCAATCAGAGGCATCGCCAAACCCGTGGGAGGAATGGACTCAGTTAGGAGGAGGAGAAAGACTGTCAGCCCAAGGAGTACATTTATTGAAAGGGCGATCTTCCCACCACTTTGTGAAGGCAAATAGAAGACAAGGATGGTGAGGAAGGCGATGCCCACGCAGGGGATGATGAGGTTGATAGTATAAAAGAGGGTCTTTCGTCGCAGGGCCAGTTTGAATGTCACATCGATAAAGGGGTCCTTGCAGCAGGTGTAGTACTCGGCACGGCGGGTAGCGGATACTTGGAGAAGCTCGAATTCCACGGAAGGATAAAAGTCCCTTAGGTTGATGGCGTGGTCGATATGCGCGTTGCCTTCATGCTCGGGAATGCGTTTTTGTGTAATGTGTTTCAAACTCACTGAATGGAAAAAAATGGTGACTAGTGACTCGACTTTAGTTATGCTCAGTCACAGAGGTCTCAAAGCAGTAGTACAAGAAAATAGTTGAATTATAAGATACGGCAAATTATTTAGAATTTGGGAGGTTCTCTTCCTCCCTTCCACCATCAAATCCACTTTCTTAAACAAGTCAAATGCTAAGAGAAAAAAGGTGATGACGAACCCAATCTTTTGAGATGTATTAAGAAGATGCAGTAAAAAGGACAAGGCAGCACAGTTTCTATGAGATGCAACACTAGGACAATAGTCTTTTGGAAAATTCGTCTCAGTCTTTGCCAATGTTAGATGCTGCAAATTACAGAACATATTCGATAAAACGATTCATTTTCCCTGCTGCTGCACCTGATAAACTTCTGCAATTACCTTCATGTCCATTGTAGGTCCACGAACCGAATTTCATAAAACACTCCTGAATGTCGAAGGGAAAGTACTGAACGTTAATAGGGCATGAACTCTTGAAAATGGCTGG